TCAACTTTTGATAATATATTTTCAGTCTGGCGTTTTATAACTTGAATAAGTAGTTCATTTTCCTTACGTAAATGTTCATTTTCAATTTCAATCAACAAGACTTCTCTGATGTAAATCGGTTCTGTGTTATGAAAGTAGAATACAATGAATGAACAGGCGACCAAACTGGTGAAGAAAATCACGATCGCTAATGTATTGTAGAGTTCAATTCTTTGATTTTGCTTTTTCCTCTTTTCCATCATCAAAATGTTATTGTTGCAACGTCTAAATTAAATCTAATTCATCTATGCTGGAAAAAAATGGTAAAGAGTAAATTTTCAAAATATTCGTCACTCAACAACAGCATATTCTAGGCACTTAAATCGACGCTTCAAACATATACTTTTTCACGTACGCAAATTTGTTGTCAATATGGATACAGTCCGAATAAACTTTGTAAAGATTATTTAGCTGTGAAATAGGCATACAAACCATGCGCACCAGCGTTATAAATTGTGTTTGTTTCCGTGGATGTCAAGCTGTCTAAATCAAGCTGTAAATCTTTCCACATTATTTTACATCATCGTTTTCAACAAAAGAAAAGCCATACCTGCGCGCAAGGTATATTCTCAAGGTATATTCGGCGAAGATTGATTTGTTCCATTTGGCTGATTCGGTTACTTTTCATACTGTGGTTCGGAATTATATTTTTGCCTTCACTGAATGTATGACATGGGTAACTGTTCATATATACAAGTATTTTATAGCCGACGATCAAATAAGTACAAAACGAGAATATCGGTCAGCGCTCTTACTCCATAGTGACACCTTGTGTCCCATCACTAATTAATTAATAACTCGCTAATTATACTACATAATTCATCCAAAATCAACAGGCTTCTGGTACGACATATAATGCACATGCAAAATCTGGAGCAGATTCAATCTCGTTTTCGTGAGATATCGCGTGCATCTAACAAACAGATTAAAATCGATAGGTAATAACTATACTTCACATTACAGGCGTACTCAGAATCTAATTTTAAAAGATATTGATCACAATATTCATTTTAGTTTGGCCAAGTTTCATTTTAAAACTCAAACCATGTACATCAACGTAAGCGTTTTGTTGATAACAGCTTTCGCCGATTGTATACGCCCGTGGTTCTCAAAGTGGTGATCGCGACGCCCGAGTGCGTCGTTTCAATTTTGCTCGGGTGTCGCAAAACTTTTCTTCTTTTGCGGAATTATACATGCGGTGCGTAGAAAAGTCAAAATTTTCGTTATTTTCGTTTGAATTGCACTTGAGAACTAGAGATGGCAATATATGAATTATTGTAACGATCAACCTTATCTATACGTAACCTCTCTAACATCACCGGTCATTTAGTGCTGTTCCAATTATGTCATCACACAAACTGGTTCAGCTCCAGCCATGCATGCCATTCATTTCTAATCCTTTCATAAACATGGGCATATCGAGCGATGTTCAGCACTTCGTCTACGCGTTGGTTCAAATGATTCAATATTGACACCACGGCAGTTCTCTTCAGGCATAATTCAAATAAAACTCATTACAAAAAAGGTTTTTTATTAAAAAGTATCAAGGCGTTTTTCACGGGGAGTCGCAACTCGATCGTATTTTTTGGAGGGCGTCGCAATACCGAAAAGTTTGAGAACCACTGGACTGTACGCTATACGGCTTTTTGATGTGTTACGTCGTGTTAGAAAACATTCAATGTCGGAGTAGTAACATTAACCATAATTGCATTTTCCCTCATACATGGTAGCCTTTCACTTGTAATCGGGAGCCTGACCAGACTTTCAATGCATTAGTAAATACAATCCGTCAGATGGCGCCGATTTTGTGAGTGAAGCAATACGCGATAAGCTGACGTTTTCTTGTCGCGACGATTCCACAAAATTGAAATTATATGATGCAGGTGCCTCACTTAAGCTAGAAAAAGGGATACAAATTTTATCCCTGAAGGAAGCAACCAGTCGAAAACTAAAAGAAACAAAGACAGCGATGATTGATGCCATAGAAGAAGACGAAAGAAGAGGACAAAGACCAATGAAGAAATTCAAGAAATATCGAGGTTGGGCAAGGATAAGCATCGATCAGAGCAAGATCAAATGCAGATATTGCAATTACATTGTAATATCTATATTTGATCTATATCTATATTGCATCATGCCAGAACAGATAAATGTCCAGCTGCCCACACTGAGGAGGATGTGTTGAAAGCATATCCCAAATTATTCAATAGACTGGGTAAATTGGGAGGTGAACATACAATTCGCTTAAAAGATGAAGCGAAACCCTTTTGTTGATGAGATGGGATTGGGTCTCTTTAAAAATTATTGTTTCATCATGATCTGTTTGCAATAATGAGTTTTCCTGTATTCTCACTACAAACCTTTTTTACATGCGGGCCAAATAAAGGTAACTGGGTGAAGCCGCGGGCCGCACGTAAATACTCCACCTACGAAAATCTCTGAATAAAAAATTTGTAGTTTTTATCCGTCCGGTATTTCTCTGTTCTTTTTTCTTACCATGTGTACCTTGAATAATTTTCTACTTGCGAATGGGTTTCCGTAATTTGAACGAAATTAATTTGTCCCAAGCCCCTTCGTAAGTCGAATTCCGTAATTATAGACGCTCTTTACCTGAAAATGCATTAATACGTTCCAAGACCCTACAAACCTCAGACATAATATTTGGCTGGGTTAAGCAAAGACCGTGGAGAGTGGGAGGATGGCGGCCGGAAGAGGTGAGGGGAGGCGTTAAAAGTTGAAATCTAAGAAAGAACATAATGCACGAAAATGAGCACACGCATATGAAATTCAAATTAGAATTTACTCTTTTTATTTTGCAGTTTTATTTATTTGATTTTTCTTTAGTTGTAACTGTTACACACGTATCGTAGTCTTCTCAACTGAAACTGAATGAGATCTATTGTACGTATCCGCGGGAAACGAACGGGCCAATGGTATGCAGGTAGTTGATTTGCGTGTGCCAGGGCAGGTACCACGGACTTTAATTTTCATATTGCTCACGGTATCATTCGTTGATTTAGAAAAACGCAAATGTAATTACGTAGCCTCGTCATTATCAAATGCGTGAACCTGATTCCAAATTACCATCTGCCAATAAAAGAGAATTAAGACCAGAAATCTTCTTTTATGTTGCGGGTCGGCGCTGATTCAAATATTTCATGTCGGCTGTTATGATTTTATTTTTGATTATAAATGAATATTGTCAACCTAAACTGCGCCACATAATATTTAAGAGCCATTTTATTTTATACGCTCTAAGTTGCAAGAAATGACTTTCATGCCGACTGTAATTTACTGCCGTGCCGCATACGACTGCCGTCGATAGCAAAAAAAATGAAATAATTGTAAAATGTTTTCAAATCCAAACGTTGACGGCGGCGCCTGGATATATGCGCCATATTCGGTATTTTAACAAACACGAAAAACGATACTCAAAGTTCGCGATATTCGAATAATAAATTCGAATTTAGCATCCGTGCTTCGCGCACTGCATTAAATTACCCTAGAATGAACAAATATCACTACACTCATTTTTTTTTTCGTCCGTGGGAAATTTTACGTTAGTCAATATATTTTCACAAAAAGAATTCTCGTAAGTTGGATTTTTCGCATGTAGAGCCTTTCGTATGTAGATTTTCTACTGTAGATTCAAGCACAAAAAGTTGTTTTATTTTGTTATTGATCTTACGGCATTGTTCGGGGTCCTGGCAGAAATGTTGAGGTAAAACGCAAAAATTTCTAAAGAAAGCTATTTCAATTTATTGTCACACCGACTTTGAACGAATTCAGAGAGAAGGAAACAAGCTTTTACAACATTGTGTATTTTCCAGCAGGATCTTCCTAGCTGGTTTCACCGATATGGCAGTGGCACTCACGTACTGGTATAGGCTTTGTGGCGCAAGGAGATTGAAATTGCTCGCAAGTTTCAGATTAATTGAACTAAAAGCTCGTTTCGTGGGCACATCACTAAAAATTGGCACTTCTCCGCGGGCCGCAGTTTGCTGCCACCCCGGCTATAGAGCATAAATTCAATTTTTCGATGTTTTCGAACCTAAAAAAATTTAACGTTGAATTGGGTGAGTAACATAGAACTTATTTGCATTAGTCAATTTTCGCGTTGGTTGGAAAAATTCCCCAAATAGGCAAATCTCACAGTAGGTCGTGCCATATGTAAGAAAAACATTAGCTAACTAATACCAGTATTCTAAGATCGTTTCATAAGAAATTAATATTTGTGTTAATTAGATTGCTTGTTGCAAATAAGTAAAAACTTGAGCCGTGATTGATTAAATGGTATGATTTGCCTAAAGCATGAAACTAGTTCATTTAGGCTTTACTGATAACATTCTTCACAAACCCCAAGGTTACAACTCATCTGTTTATGTAACAACTGAAGTCATTTCAATTTGGAATGAACAATATTTTTACAGCCTAAAAATATCTCACGTCACTCACGAATGAGTTTACTCTGGTGGTGATGTGCAATCCACATTGTAATATAATAGGTTAAGCAGAATCCAACTATGCCGACAATTGTTTGTTTCTATGTATGAGATTAGTTAGTGGAAACTAATTAGGTTTAATATACAGAAATAATTATGATACATAGTTTTCACATTATTTTAGCATCATATTTAGAATATGTAACAGAATAACTGACCACATATGTTTCCACATTTAAACGAAGCTGTCAAAAGTTTTTCAAAATTCTACCCAATTCAGCGAAAAAGTAAGGCAAATTAACGCAAATTAATTTCGAAACTCTATTGATTTTTTTTTTGTGATGAATAATTACATATCAGTATGGCCTATGATTTGTATTTATTGCTTACAAAAGTGCTTCCTGTTTGAAAAATAGGGCATACATATGGATTAAACGAGGATTTATTGCTTACAAAAGTGCTTCCTGTTTAAATAATAGGGCATACATATGGATTAAACGAGGAATTCCAGATGTTTATGATGACGCCGTTTCCAGGATTGTCCAGAATCTCTATAAAAGAGAAGAAAATTTTAGTCGAGCACCAACCACTCTATCAGAAACTGACGAACGATCTTCTTGAGACAAGGATAAATCAGGTGAGATTTGTAACTTTGTATTCTGTTACACACAGTGGTAAATCCATTTATACTTTATACGAACAATTCTTTGTTTTTGTCATGAATCTAAGTTGGCATAAATGGTGTAAATTGGGAAGTTTATTTGTTATTCCTCTTAATTTTATTCCTCTTTCTCCTTTCGCCGCTGCAGAAAACAGAATGATGAAATCCACAATCATTTTATTATTGGTAGCAATGTTGGTTGTCAACAGCGACGCCGGTTTTTTCGGGAAAGCTGGTAAAGCCATTAAGAAGACCGTGACCAGCCCGTAAGTCGTGATTTATTTGCGTTTTATCGATATATATTATTTTAATTAGGGATTGGTTTAAATTTATTTTAATACTTTACGTTAAGACTCATTGACGGTAACACGTTACCTTTTTTAAATGAATATCTATCTTTCGATGTTTCATTTACACTATATTTAAAAATCACAACAACTTCATCAATCACAAATTGGTCAAAATAATCTGTAGAAAACATCCTGATCCAGTTCGACTATGCATATTTCACTTTATAAATAATTTGCATAGAATACAATGTGATTGCAGCAGTGACTGATATACTGTTTAACATTATAATCTAGTTAGGTAAAGTAAACTTACAAAATTCTAGACTTTGTCCTTTATTTGATTATTTTAGGACGGGGAAAAAAGTGGCCAAAAAGCTTGCTCAGCTTGCTGCTAGAGCGGCCCTTTTTGGTATTCTTGGAGATATGCGATCTTTAAGAGAATTGGTGAGAATGCTAATTTTAGTTCAACAACCTACTTTGTTTAGCAATATTGGAGAGTGAAATGAACTGTAATTCACTATATAGCATTAAATTCATACATAACGAGTTACGTGTTCCACACCATCATATATATGCCGACAAGTGTGGAACAGACGAGAATCCAGGGTGGTCGTCGACTGTGATATCCCTTGGAAACGAATTCTCAGCTTCCGCGAGTAGAGTTTCATTTTTTTAATATATTTTTTCAACGTTGTTGTTGAATTTTACTGCGCGTTATATCCAGTCAAACGGTTGTTGCTTTATGATTAAGATTGCATTGAATATATTGATAAATAGTAATATTTTTTCCCCAAAGGACGATGCTGAAATGAATCAAATGATTGAGGCCGTCAAAATGATCAGAGATATGGATGAGGGTAAGAACTATAAATTGCCAGTATTCTTAGTTATACCCAGTAGTGTAGATTGATTTCGTTTATCCAAAATTTTGAATTGGTATCATTTGTGACAAAACAATGTGAGGAAATCAATCAGTTGTATACGTTCTGGCCATTTATCACTTGTGGTTTTTTATCAACTCTAACCCCAAGAAACACATCGTGGATGTCTATCTGTCTACGATTGCTGTTCGTCTCAAATTAGCATGTCGAAAACGTCTCTGTAAAATAGGATTCCCTCTAAAATTATTTACTATGTAACGTCACTCAAGCCATAGACAACCTTTGCTTTTGTGCTTGTAGAATGAAACAAAGAGAATACAAGAAAATTTAGATTTTGAAATACAAAATTAATTCGTTTTCACGTTCTATAGCCATTTACCTAAGCACAAAATCACGAATAAAGTAAGTTTACTTTACGAGCATTGTGTGCAGAATAAAAACGCTTACTAATGCTTGATTATAATTTATATTACCAGTATTTTAATTAATAAATTACACCTATATACTATTAGCGAGGACCCTATTGAAGTGCGCGGTCATCGCGGCTGCATTTGTGCAGTCGCTTAATTAAGCCTGGCCCTGACGAAAGCTAAACTAATTAACTGAAAATTACAATCATTTAATGAGATATTTTACTATAAAATTTCTTGTTCATTTCAGATGAATTCAACCACTTCAGAGATGCTCAGTCCGTGGAAGATTTCGAATAATCTTCATGATGTTGAATGTTTACAGTGATAGTAGTATAAGAAAAACGAACAAACAAGCAACTTTTTTGATTCAAAATCTTGATTCAAATCTTTGTTTGATTATTTAAGAGAAAGATATCATTCATTGATCAGTATATCTATGTTTTAATACAGAGTGAATATTTAAACTAACCAAACATATTTTTATCCTTTAATTCAACAAAATTTATGAATATTATTTGGTGTTATTCTTTCTACTATCATGTCATACATGCTGCTTTGCATCCGAGTATTTTTCGGAATAATAAAAGCTGGAACACAGTTTTGTATGATTTTTTTCATTCAGTGAATCAGATTATTTTTCCGATAAAACAAATGCTTTAAAGTTGCGCTATTTCAGTTTATTGCGCAGCTTTGTTTGTGATATTTTGCATCGATATCGAAAGAAAGGTTGTCGTAAATCAGGGGCGATTATTCACCGTCGGGATTGGTGTCTTTAAATTTCAAGAAAGCCGGATAAGTTGTAAATTTGGAATTAAACGGAAATAAATTGCAAAAGTGTTATTGTTAATAGTAGGGTAATTTCGCACAAGTTGACTCTTTGGTGTAGTCAATGCATTTATATATTTGAAAAATTCTTTTCCTAGGCTATTTCCCAACAACAATAGCAATTTAGCAAAACAATCCTTGTTTACACATCGTGCCTTATAAACCCTATCCAAATGTAGACGATTTTATCCTGAAAACTATATTACACTGCGAAAAATTTAAAAACAAATAATTCGTATTGTTCTGGAACAACTCAAATGTCACGGGTGAAAACCCCGAAATCTACATTCGGTAAATTCGGTGATTCGAAGTTAAGCTTGACGTATCGTTTCGAATAAAACCTCTTGCTAGCATATATGGATCAAGATCGACATCAGGGTTCCGAGTTTAATATAAGCGGACAAACCATTGCACAGTCGTTTATATAAATTGTCAATTCCAAACAAGGTTCAAATCTTCGAGCTTGATTTCGTAAAGTTGGAAACAAGTTCTTGCCAGGCTCTAAGTTCGAAAGATAGTGAATATTACACCCTTTGACTACATAGTGACTAGTAGAAAAAGCACCTATTATAGAGATTCCGTGATTATAGACCGTCTTTACCTGAAAATGCATTAATCCGTTCCAAGACCCTACAAACCTCGGACATAATATTTGACTGGGTTAAGCAAAGACCGTGGAGAGTGGGAGAATGGCGGCCGGAAAAGGTGAGGGAAGGCGTTAAAAGATGAAATCTTTATCTCTTTTATTTTGCAGTTTTATTCATTTTATTTTTCTTTAGTTTTAACTGTTACGCGTATCGTAATCTTCTCAACTGAAACTGAATGAGACTTATTGTACGTATCCGCGGGAAACGAACGGGCTAATGGTATGACGGGCGTGTGCCAGGGCAGGTACCCCGGACTTTAATTTTTATATTGCTCACGGCATCATTCGTTGATTTAAGAAAACAAATGTAATTACGTAGCATCGTCATTATCAAATGAGTGAACCTGACTCCCAAATTACCATCTGCCAATAAAAGAGAATTAAGACCGGAAATCTTCTTCTATTTTGCGAGTCGGTGCTGATTTAAATATTTCATGTCAGCTGTTATGATTTTATTTTTGATTATAAATTAATATTGTCAACCTAAACTGCGCCTACATAATATTTAAGAGCCATTTTGTACGCTCTAAGTTGTAAGAAATGACTTTCATGCCGACTGTAATTTACTGCCGTGTCGCATACGACTGCCGTCGATTACAATAAAAAATGAAATAATTGTAAAATGTTTTCAAATTCAAACGTTGACGGCGGCGCCAGGATATATGTGCCATATTCGGTATTTTTACAAACTCGAACAACGATACTCGAAGTTCGCGATATTCGAATAAGAAAATCGAATTTAGCATCCGTGCTTCAAGCACTGCATTAAATTAACCTAGAATAAACAAATATCACTACACTCATTTTTTGTTTTCGTCCGTGGGAAATTTTACGTTAGTCAATATATTTTCACAAAAAGAATTCTCGTAAGTTGGATTTTTCGCATGTAGAGCCCTTTGTAGGTAGATTTTCTACTGTAGATTCAAGCACAAAAAATTGTTTTATTTTGTTATTGATCTAACGGCATTGTTCGGGGTCCTGGCAGAAATGTTGAGTTAAAACGCAAAATTTCTTAAAGAAAGCTATTTTAATTTATTGCCACACCGACTTTGAACGAATTCAGTGAGAAGGAAACAAGCTTTTACAACATTGTGTATTTTCCAACAGGATCTTTCTAGCTGGTTTCACCGATATGGCAGTGGCACTCGGATACTGGTATAGGCTTTGTGGCGCAAGGAGATTGAAATTGCTCGCAAGTTTCAGATTAATTGAACTAAAAGCTCGTTTCGTGGGCACATCGCTAAAAATTGGCACTTCTCCGCGGGCCGCACAGTTATTCTTTGCGGGCCGCAGTTTGCACACCCCTGCTATAATGGCCTAAATTTAATTTTTCGATGTTTTCGAACCAAAAAAATCAAACGTTGAATTGGGTGGGTAATTTTCATTAGATTCATATTATTCAGCCAAAATAGATTTTTTTGCGTAGATGCCATGGAATTTATTTGCGTTGGTCAATTTTCGCGTGGGAAAAATTCCCCAAATAGGCAAACCTCACAGTAGGTCGTGCCATATGTGAGAAAAACATTAGCTAACTAATACCAGTATTCTAAGATCGTTTCATAAGAAATTAATATTTGTGTTAATTAGATTGCTTGTTGCAAATAAGTAAAAACTTGAGCCGTGATTGATTAAATGGTATGATTTGCCTAAAGCATGAAACTAGTTCATTTAGGCTTTACTGATTACATTCTTCACAAATCCCAAGGTTACAACTCATCTGTTTATGTAACAACTGAAGTCATTTCAATTTGGAATGAACAATATTTTTACAGCCTAAAAATATCTCACGTCACTCACGAATGAGTTTACTCTGGTGGTGATGTGCAATCCACATTGTAATATAATAGGTTAAGCAGAATCCAACTATGCCGACAATTGTTTGTTTCTATGTATGAGATTAGTTAGAGGAAACTAATTAGGTTTAATATACAGAAATAATTATGATACATAGTTTTCACATTATTTTAGCATCATATTTAGAATATGTAACAGAATAACTGACCACATATGTTTCCACATTTAAACGAAGCTGTCAAAAGTTTTACAAAATTCTACCCAATTCAACGAAAAAGTAAGGCAAATTAACGCAAATTAATTCGAAACTCTATTGATTTTTTTTTTGTGATGAACTTATTACATATCAGTATGGCCTATGATTTGTATTTATTGCTTACAAAAGTGCTTCCTGTTTGAAAAATAGGGCATACATATGGATTAAACGAGGATTTATTGCTTACAAAAGTGCTTCCTGTTTAAATAATAGGGCATACATATGGATTAAACGAGGAATTCCAGATGTTTATGATGACGCCGTTTCCAGGATTGTCCAGAATCTCTATAAAAGAGAAGAAAATTTTAGTCGAGCACCAACCACTCTATCAGAAACTGACGAACGATCTTCTTGAGACAAGGATAAATCAGGTGAGATTTGTAACTTTGTATTCCGTTACACACAGTGGTAAATCCATTTATACTTTATACGGACAATTCTTTGTTTTTGTCATGAATCTAAGTTGGCATAAATGGTGTAAATTGGGAAGTTTATTTGTTATTCCTCTTAATTTTATTCCTCTTTCTCCTTTCGCCGCTGCAGAAAACAGAATGATGAAATCCACAATCATTTTATTATTGGTAGCAATGTTGGTTGTCAACAGCGACGCCGGTTTTTTCGGGAAAGTTGGTAAAGCCATTAAGAAGACCGTGACCAGCCCGTAAGTCGTGATTTATTTGCGTTTTATCGATATATATTATTTTAATTAGGGATTGGTTTAAATTTATTTTAATACTTTACGTTAAGACTCATTGACGGTAACACGTTACCTTTTTTAAATGAATATCTATCTTTCGATGTTTCATTTACACTATATTTAAAAATCACAACAACTTCATCAATCACAAATTGGTCAAAATAATCTGTAGAAAACATCCTGATCCAGTTCGACTATGCATATTTCACTTTATAAATAATTTGCATAGAATACAATGTGATTGCAGCAGTGACTGATATACTGTTTAACATTATAATCTAGTTAGGTAAAGTAAACTCACAAAATTCTAGACTTTGTCCTTTATTTGATTATTTTAGGACGGGGAAAAAAGTGGCCAAAAAGCTTGCTCAGCTTACTGCTAAAGCGGCCCTTTTTGGTATTCTTGGAGATATGCGATCTTTAAGAGAATTGGTGAGAATGCTAATTTTAGTTCAACAACCTACTTTGTTTAGCAATATTGGAGAGTGAAATGAACTGTAATTCACTATATAGCATTAAATTCATACATAACGAGTTACGTGTTTCACATCATCATATATATGCCGACAAGTGTGGAACAGACGAGAATCCAGGGTGGTCGTCGACTGTGATATCCCTTGGAAACGAATTCTCAGCTTCTGCGAGTAGAGTTTCATTTTTTTAATATATTTTTTCAGCGTTGTTGTTGAATTTTACTGCGCGTCATATCCAGTCAAACGGTTGTTGCTTTATGATTAAGATTGCATTGAATATATTGATAAATAGTAATATTTTTTCCCCAAAGGACGATGCTGAAATGAATCAAATGATTGAGGCCGTCAAAATGATCAGAGATATGGATGAGGGTAAGTACTATAAATTGCCAGTATTCTTAGTTATACCCAGTAGTGTAGATTGATTTCGTTTATCCAAAATTTTGAATTGGTATCATTTGTGACAAAACAATGTGAGGAAATCAATCAGTTGTATACGTTCTGGCCATTTATCACTTGTGGTTTTTTATCAACTCTAACCCCAAGAAACACATCGTGGATGTCTATCTGTCTACGATTGCTGTTCGTCTCAAATTAGCATGTCGAAAACGTCTCTGTAAAATAGGATTCCCTCTAAAATTATTTACTATGTAACGTCACTCAAGCCATAGACGACCTTTGCTTTTGTGCTTGTAGAATGAAACAAAGAGAATACAAGAAAATTTAGATTTTGAAATACAAAATTAATTCGTTTTCACGTTCTATAGCCATTTACCTAAGCACAAAATCACGAATAAAGTAAGTTTACTTTACGAGCATTGTGTGCAGAATAAAAACGCTTACTAATGCTTGATTATAATTTATATTACCAGTATTTTAATTAAATAAATTACACCTATATACTATT